ACTTGGCCTTTCTAGCTTTCCCATCTCAAAATGATAGGGATTGGGATCAGATTAGGCCGAGACGGATATAATGTGAATTTCTCTATCTTTTACTCCTCCGGTCCTTATTATAAGACCCCATTTGACTTTTTATTTGGTCCTAATTATAAGACCCCAATCCATTTTGTCTCTTATATTTATGCATTTTTTCCCAAGATAATCCTTCTAATAATGATAGTTTTAGCCAATATACTTAATTAGCAAGGATATTTTAGGAATGACAACACTTATTTATTATAAATAACCAACTTAACTTACTTTCTTAATCTCCTCAAATAAGTCAATTGGGTCTTATAATTAGGACCGGAGGAGTATTAGATATTTAGAGTCTGCAGATTGGAGATCCCATAGTAATTGAGGCCAAAGCAATAAGTACCATAAAAGACAAAGGGGTCATGGGATTGTTTTGATTCTTACGGCAACGTGATACTGAAAATATCCTGTGCATTATAATGGTGCGGCTCCAATTTATTATTCCTTAAATTTCTGTTTTTTTTTTCAAAAAGTCATTCCTTAAATAGTTTTTCCTCATCATCCAATCATAGTTCAAGCATCAACTTTACGTTTCAAATCTATCTTCTTTCCTATTGGTGTCTAAGCATAGATAAACTTATCTCCATATGATTTTTATATATAATTTCGTTTAATTCACTTGAAAGTGAGATGATTATTTCTTAATTTTCAAGAATTTATCCTCAAACTCCCATTTAAGTTTTGCATACTACTTCTGCTCCTTAATATGAGAGCCAGTTAGATATTTAATTTGGTCTTAAATATAAGACTTTAATATCCTTTGTCTCCAATATTTACTCAATTTGTCCCAAGTAATTCCTATAGTGATCTCAGACGTTAAAAAGTTTTTATTCAAGGGTACCGTCAATGCACATGATTGATGTGAGTATTATAAGTATTTTCTCATGCTTTACACAATAAAAAGAAATTATTTGTTTTGTTATAGGCAGTGATATCCTCCCATTAGAGGCAAATGCATTTTCATACATTAAATTTGAACACTTTTCTCAATAAAGATTCAAATACTGATTCATTATATTGTGAAAGATTAGCCTATTTCATAGGACCCAAATCTTATTGTTAAAGGAACTAATTTTTTTTTGTGCTAAGGACAAGTATCCTTCTACTAGAAGCAATCATATTCGAGACAATGTTGAATACTAAATGTAAACATTGTTATGAATTATTTTGTTTTTTTATAAGCACAGGTGTCCTCTAATTGGAGGTAATCCTATTCAAGGTAGAATTACTCGTTCTTGTAACATACCAATGTCTAATGCGGCCTAAAGGATCATGTTAATCTCTCAAGTCTAGGAAACATTGATAATTAGGGGTAGGGATTGAGATTTGGATTAAGAAAATATATCAAAAGAGTGTTTAGCATAAGACATTCCTTATTGTAAGGAATTAGCCAAACCCATGTATGTGAGATTGGAGAATACCATGGGAGAATGGTATTTCCCAATCCCACCTCTATGGCTTAATTTGCCTGATTCCATGTAACAAGTAATTACTCATGTTAAATATTTCTCTGGTTCTTAATATAGGACCCAATTGTTGAGTTGGTTTTGATCCTAAATATAAGACCCATTTCTTATATTTATCAATTTTTCTAAATTATCTTTATGGATACTCCTTCAACTATAATCAAGTAGAAGAGAGAGATGGGGTATTAAGAAAGATGATTATGGTGTTTTAGGAAAAAAGTGTCACATTTCTTATAATTAACTAATTTACCTAACTTCTTTAATCTAATCAAATTAGTTAAATGGATATTATATTAAAAATCGAAGGAGTACTATTTTAATAATTTTTCTTAATTACAATCTAAATCTCACTCTTTTATTTTTAATGTTTCGTACCAAACAGAATCTTAGGGTTTAGGCTCAGCTTAACCCATTATGAGTTGAGCGCGTCTTCGGTTCAACCAAAGTTTTGGTTTGTTTATGTTGTGGCCTGAAAAGTTTCGTACGTTCCCCCAAAAAAAAAAAAGAAAAGCAAGAGCTTCCCCGCCCCTCAATTCATTTGGCTTATGATGATCTTCTTTGCCAGATTAAAGAGAATGCTACTCTTTTTCGAATTTTTCTGGTTGGATTCTTTCATTATATACTTGATTCTCTTTGCCCACCCAATCACTTGTTTTTAGCTTTCCCGTCTCAAAATGATGAAGACCAGATTGGGTTGGTCAAGACGGGTATAATGGTAAGCCTCTCCACCTTTTATCTCAAGTAATTTCAATTTGATAGTGGTATATGATGTATCAATGGCTAAATTGCTCATTCATCAATGTTAATCGATATGCACGACTAGTAATTAATAATGGTATTAAAATATTAGGTATTCAGAGTCTGCAGATTGGAGATCCCATAGTTATTGAGGCCAAAGCAACAAGGGTTCGTACGATTGTTTTGATTCGCACGGCAACGTGATACTCAAAACATTCTGTGGATTATAATGGTGTGGCTCCAATTTATTATTCCTTAAATTTCTGTTTTTTCCCCCAAAAACAAAGGTCATTCCTTAAATAGTTTTTCCTCATCATCCAATCATAGTTCAAACGTCAAGTTTGCGTTTCAAATGTATCTTCTTTCCCATTTGTGTCTAAGCATAGATAAACTTATCTCCACATGATTCATTCACACACACACACACACACACATATATATATATGAATTTCGTTTAATTCACCTGAAAGTGAGATGATTATTTCTTAATTTCCAAGAATCATTTAAGTTTTACATACTACTTTCACTCTTTAATATAAGAATTATTTAGATATTTAATTTGATCATAAATATAAGACTTTAATCAACTTTATTTCTAATATTTACCTATTTTGTCCCCGATAATTTACATGGTAATTGCATATATTAAAGATTTTTTATTTAAAGGGTGCCTTCAATGCACATAATTGATGAAAGTATTTTTAGAAGGACAACATTAATTTATTACAAATAATTAGCTTGACTAATTATTTTCATATTTACAAAATTAGTCATTTAACTTTCATATTAACAATTAGTAATAGGGTGGAATCAGTGGCCTGGCATTGGCTTATCTAGTAAATAAATAGGTGGGGTGAGGTTTAAGCTTATGGTCACGCTTAGATCTAGCCTATTTATTAATTTTTATTATATTATTATTAAATAAAAGTTATTAGTTAATGACTAATATATATAATACTTTCTTTGATCTATAATATAAGAGCTTGTTTAAATTTTATTTTAGCCCTAAATATAAGACTCTAATCCACTTTGTCTCTTATATTTATCTATTTTTTCTTAAGGTAATTTTGTAATAATGGTAGTTTTAGTCAATACAGTTGATTAGTAAAAATATTTTAGAAAAAATAACATTTATTTATGACAATAAATAACTGACCTAACTAATTTTTTTAATCTAAATTAGTTAACTTGTTTTTATATTAAGTAGCAGAGGTGTAGGTTTTTATATACTTAAGAGTCTATTTTAAGTTATTTAATATTTAGAATGTAAGCTTATTCAAAAGACTTATTTTTTTAAATGGGCCTTCAGGCCTAGTCTTTTCGTAGCTAGCCTCGTGTCCAAACGATGAAAATGGCTCAAGTTCAAACCTACTTTCCACGCAGATCTTAAGTTTATTTGATAAAAACCTGACCACGCTTGACCCACTTCCTCTCAATCAATCATAATTGCTTTTAACGGGAAAAAAAACAAATGTCAACACGTGATGTTGTTGAGAATTCATGAGGTAATAATTCAATATTTTATTGGTTTTATTAACCGAATTCTCTTGACGAAAGATATTAAAATAGTACAATTGGGACCAATAACGCTTGCTGCTCTGTGAAGTAAATTGCTTATTTTCTTTTGGCCGGCAAATTGCTTGTCACTTGTTACTTCCTCCTCCTGTTGAAAATATAAGAAATCCTTTTTTTTTTTGTGTGTGGATAAACTGGAAGGAGGAAAATATAAGAAGTCTTCTAGAGAAAAATTTTAGTCAGAAAATATAAGAGGTTGAAAGAGTAAATGATGATACTTTGTCACTTCTACCTCTAATTAAAAGGAAGAGAGAGAGAGATAAGAAAATTTTTCAATCACATAATAAAAGTAAAATAGGTAACTTTTACTGGTTTTACATACATTTAACGACTCAATCAACATTTTTTAGTTTGTGAAAAAGCTTAACTAACCTCTTATATTATAAACAAGATTAGGTGGTGCTTATATTAAGTGCTTATAAGCATATTTATGTAAATCGACACAAAATCTTCGTTACATATCTATTTAGTATTTCGTAAATTACAGTTCAAAAACTGTTTTGAAAGTTGTAACCGTTCTAAACATGCACCAACACGTATACTCATACTAAAGACTCTCAAAGGTTTACCCATGTGGATACATATCTTAGTACTGGATGGTGGTCTTCACCCCCCAATAATCCTTTGTAGCAGCTACTTTCACTGAAGCTACTGCAACATTAATTATATGTTCTAATGTTCTAATGATGTCGTGATGGAAAGTGACATGAATTGTATTATACCAATTACTTTTCCTGATTTTATATACTATTTTGCAAATAGTAAACATCAAGAAGACTGCTTTCTCGTGGCAATTTTCGAGGAATAAAACTGTAGAAATGCAAGTCGGTGAAAACTCAAGTCCATGTTTATCTCTTTATCAATAGATAACATTAACAATGGACAATTTCTTTATTAAAAAACCTGAACGATTCATTTCATCATTCAATCTATATATAATATGTCGAACAAATTAATCTTAATCAGTCTAATATATGTAATTGCAATTCTGCACTTCTTATCTAGCTAACTGTTGCTAATTTGGACTGATCTGTTTCTACATTGACCTTCATTTGTTGTACACATACAGAGAGGATCATTCACCAGTTCAACTCAAACACAAGAAAATCTCTTTTTAATTTCGTGTGTTGAAACCGGCAGAGAGAGAAGATGGAGCCCGATATTCTTGAGCCCTCGTGGTCGTACAGTGAAGGTATAACAATAAGCTCAGCTTTTGATCAAGATGAGTCTTATGACTTCAACGTGGACGCCCTTTTGTTCCCCACTTCAGAGGCTACGTCTTCTACAATCTCGTACACTGATCACGTCTATCGCCCAATTGATGAAGAACACGACCTTCAACTCCCATCACTGATTGAAAATTCCTCTTCGGATCTTGATGGTTTTGATCCCACTTCGAGTTCTCAAAGTCTGGGTATTATTCGTGGATACCCACAAGAAAGTGAGGGAAGCTTTCTATCACAGAACTTGTGTTCTGAGGGAGAAGATGCATGGAGTCCAGCCCCATCGATGCAATCAGACATATTTACAGTAGTACAACCACAACCATCACTGATCATACCAGAAGAAGACATGGAGATGGAGAACCAATTGAGTCTTCCCCATCTTCTGGAAGCCACTGGAGAAGCCTTAGAGCAAGGACAGAAAACACTTGCGCAAGTGATTCTGAGATGCATCAGCCACAAAGTAAGCCCTCTTGGTGATCCTCTTGAACGTCTGGCATTCAATTGGTCCCAAAATCATGATCCTACTGAGCAAGGGAGTTCCATCAAACAGGAGGCCTGCAAGATGTTCCACCACGTTTTCAAGGCTATCTACCAAGGCCTCCCACATGGCAAAATTGCTCATTTTGCAGCCAACTCAGCAAGCATAGAATTTATACCAGAGGATTCAGACATCATACATGTAATAGACTTCGATATGGGAGAAGGGGCTCAATGGCCGCCACTGATAGAGGCTATTGCTCATCAACAAAAGACATTGAAACTAACGTCAATCAAATGGGAAGAAGATGATAGCTTTGATACCAATTTTATTTCAACCCAATGGAAATTTGAAGAAATCAGAAGGAAACTCTACGAGCATGCCAAATCATGTGGTTTGAATTTGAAGGTGGAGGAACAGAGTATGGAGGAACTGGCGGCAGAGCTCAAAAAATGGAACGAAAGGGGCGGGCATGGAAATGGAAAGAGAAATTTCGTGGCCTTCAATTGCATGGTGGGTCTTCCACACATGGGCAGGGTCAGAAGCAGGAGCCATGTCTCGGAATTTCTGCAAGTAGCCAAGGATTTCATCAAAAGTTCAACTTCAGGGAATTAAAGCTTATGGTGATGGAGAAGCCTGCGAGAAGCTAAGAAATAGCACCAACTTCAGGACTTTCTTTAATGGCCATTTGGAGCATTACCATACTTTATTAGAATCCATAGAATCAAATTTCCCACTCCAATTCTCAGAGGCAAGAACAGCTGTGGAGAGTCTCTTTGTGGCACCATCTATGTCATAGGAGGGATGGTTTCGGAGGTGGGAGATGAGAACACCAAATTTATCTAAAAACACCAAATTTATCATTCAAGAAAAAATACTACAGGAACACTAGACTTGAGAATATGGACCGAGACTATAGCATCTTTTTTTTAAAATGATTATTACTGATTAATTTGGCTTGATTTAAATATGAGTATACCCTATATTTAGCTGGTGAATATATTTATGTTTTTGGGTATACAGCTAAATTAACTGAGACCAACAAACCCAGAATTTTTTACTTTTTCAAATTATTTTATATAATCGTGGGTATTCTATTTGAAAGCTTTTGTTTAAAATTATGCAATTTGAAAGTTTGTATTTAAATTATTTATCTTTAATTTTTTGCTTTCTGGTTAGTTATTGCGTTGTTTAGATTAGAATTATTTTGATTGAATTGTTTGTATTTATTACTTATTATAAATTTTAGATTTAGAATTAATATATTTTGAATAGATATTTTAAATTTTAAATTAAAAAACACGAAAGCCATGTAACTTCTCTAATCCACTCCAATTTATTTGAGTGCAAGTTTCATGTCTTTCTACTGAATTTGTTAACCAACCAATGTAATCCTAAAAATAAATGATTTTTATTTTTAGTTCTGCAAAATAATGATTTTTTGTTAATGGGAGATAATTCTATTTTTAAATACTTTTTTAATTAATTCAATTAATCCTGAATTATTATGGAATTTATTGTAGTTATTCCCAATAATGAGCCTTATTTTTTCTATTTTTTGAAAAAAAAAAAGAAATACCCTTTATCTGTAAATATCTTAAATTGAGAAAAATAAATAAGATTATATAACTTCTCTAATCCTGAAAATCATGACATATACGCTAGCCATGATATATGTTCAAAATTTGAAATTTGTATTAATTTGATAGTATTATTTAAAATTAATTATGTTTGAAATTTGTAAACATTTATTCTTCATGTCTGTGTACAAAGATTCTAGTAAAGACATGTTTACTATTCCTGTTTGGTGGAAATTTTTAATGATTATAATGAAAAATTAGCAGAATATTATTTCATTTTATCTAATCAAATTACTTTTAAACACAACTGCCGCCACGACATCGTTTAAACGAATCTGAATCAATTTCCAGCCCCAGGTCACCCAGCGCCTTCGAGTCTTGACTATTAAGCTTCAACTCAAAAATCGCCCCAGACGCTCCCGCCAAAGAGAAACTAAATTAGTTTGTTTTGGAAAAAAAAAAAAAAGGTTAAAAAAAACCCGGCCTACGATATCTTCATCTCCGCCGTGCTGGAGGAAGAAGCCGAGCCCCTGCTTCCTACTCAGATACGAATCGGCGGGTGGATGCGTATGCGCTGGCGCCAGTCATTCCATCTGTGGCGACCCATTCTGACGTCGGCAAGGAATTCGACGGTCGTTCCTTGGGAGATTTCTGTTGCCAAAACCTAGGGCTTGAAAGGAAAACCGACAATTTTCTGAGAAAATGGATGATTCATCGAGAAAAATTGACTTAGACAAGTTATTTTCCTACAGCGACGACCTCATTAAAGTACTGAAGGACAAACGGGACATCAACTGCTTGACACAGTATCTAGAACAGTCAAATTCCCTTTCTTCATCCTGCAACGCTGACTTCAACGAGGTTCGATCATTGCTTGAAGGTCATTTCTTGCTCTTTCTCTGCTTCTAACTCCGTCCTTTGTAGCTGAATTAACCCTTACTAAGAAGGGAGTTCTGGGTCTTTATTTTTTTTTTTATATATATATATTTTAATTCCTTGAAACTTCTCTTGTATAACTAGTTTGTGGAAAGCTATTGATTTTCCCAAACAAAATAAATCAGAATCTTGAAGTAAAACATATAATGATAAAGTTCGAATTTTTAAAAGCTTTCTTCTTGTACTACTAAAAACCATTTTCTCCCATCATTATAAGCTATAATGTTACTGTATGTATATAATTTGGTAGCAATAATACACACATTGCAAATTTTGTGGCTTACCTGTTTTGCTTTAAATCAGGTGGATGATTTCGCTTGTAAATTTTATGTTGTAGAAGGATGTCTTTTTTAGGAATCAGAACCATCTGAGTTTCTATCCTTGCGGCTAATGCATTAATCATGTACGGGCGTTAAAATTTATTGTCAGATGGGAATGTTGAGACATCAATGAATTCGGGGCTTGGGGTTGGTATTTATGTATGTGACAACTTAGCCTGTGGTACTTTTCTTATTTGATATGCTTAAAGTTGTGATGAAGGTTTTGTTCTCCAATATCAGCTCAAAGTCTTTGTCAACATTTGTCAAACTTGTATGAGATTGTTAATCATTAGGAATGTGAAAAATGTAAGAGATACCTTAATGTTGAGGGAGGGATTGTCGAAGGAATCTCTGTGTATGGGCTTTCTCCCAGCCTTCCCATGTCTTTCTTGATCAATCCGTTTCAATCTCGTTGCTAATTTTGGTGAGTATTTCTGGCTGGTCTCCCCCCCCCCCCCCAAAAAAAAAAAGAAAAAAGAATTCAATAACTTCAGCCATTTTTCTCTAAAGTATCTCCCCTTGGTAAAGTAGAGACAAATAAGAAGAGAATGATGGGTTTTACCTTTGCGCATGTGAACCCAACAAGTGTGGAACCTGCTACTTTATTCCTATCTCTCTCGACTTCACACCATAAAGTATCTCTTAGTTGCTGCTTGCTCAGATATGATAACCAGATAAAGAAGGTGAATTTCTCATAGAATTGACAAGCAGACCAATTGCCTCGAACTGGGAAGATGAATCTTGAATTTCCCTTACCTGTATCCTAGTGACTGTATGGATGCATTCATAGCATGAGAAACAATCTATTTATCTACTGTTGCGATTTCCCAGGCTCCTCTGAACGTTAGGAGTGTACTATTTCATAAGAGTGTAAAACATGGAGTATTCTTAAGATTTCCCAATTCCTGACTAACTGCTCTTTTTTCTTTTATTCCTTACTTTTCAATTGAAACAAGCTGTGTGTGATTCTTGCTGAAGCTAGGTATTTGAGTTGCATGTTGCTCTGTCTGGGTTCTCTGTATCACCTTTTTCTGTCATACAGCCATCTTATATAACATTGAATGGTGATGGGGGGAGTAAAACGTTGGTTTTGGATTTGATAGAGCAAGCTTGTGATTCTAATGGAATTGGGCGTGGCATGCTGCATATCATCTTCTAAAACTGCTACACTTCAAATTTTACTAGTTTGGAAGTATTTCAACTTCACTGGTTCACTTTTTATGTTATGTACTATGAGTAGATCTTCTTGATTAAATGTCTTGCATCTGACTAGTTCTTTTATCATACGTGAATCAGATTACCAGAAGAAAATAGACGAATGCAAACAGAAAACGGCACAAGCTAGATCTGAGGTTGTTGCAGATGCAGAACTGGACCTTCTACAGAAAGAATTAGAGGAAGAACTTGAAAAAGAACGCACACTTGGAGCGGAGCTTAGATAAGTCTCTAGTTTGTTTACAACTTTTCAATGACATGCTCTCTTTTTATTATCAATCACCTGCAATGGGATTTCTAACCTGCTCTTTGTGTCATCACAGCCTGCAGCATCGAATTTAATGATCTTGAACAGAAAAGGATTTCAATCCTAGAGAGAAAGAAAAATTTACAGAAACTTGAGCAAGATGAGCTAAGGACACAGTAAGTGCATTACCAAACCTCAACCCATCTGAGAGTGAATCATGCGCATATGCATCCTGAATTAGAATAGTGAAGTCAGTTAATTTCGAGGAGAAAGTGGTGACAATATATATATATATATATACTTTTTTTTTTAGTTTTGCATTTTCCGAACATGTAGCTGCCTTATCTTTCTTAAGTTAATCTATTTATCCTTGAATACCTTGCTTATTCCAAAATTTAGCTATTTATGAAGTTTTTTTTTTTTTTTTTTGGGGGTTAAAGTTTAATGTTGAGACGGACTTGGCATTACCAATGGTCATAATTTGCTTAATATCAGAGAACCAGAATATGACAGCAGATTGGACTCATCCTCGTTTAGGAACGCTGCTTTCTTTACAAAGGCTACAGAAGAAAAACGTTATAGAAAGGAGAGCAAATTCAGAAACTTTTGCATCTGGAACTAGACAATATATCTTTCATATTACCAAGTCAACCTCATTTTAAGAACTTTTTATTTCTTTTTTGGGGAAGCAAGTCATTGCTTGTGTGTGAGCTATGTTATTTTGAGAAATTTGTGAAAGAAATTTTATTTTTTCCTGACTCAACCATTGCTGGTGATCTTTATGTTTGGGCATAATTATCTGCCTGCATGACAGCGTGAGTAAAGTTTTAGATGGATTCTGTACCCATCAGAACTTAATCTATTCTTCTGTTCTTTTGCAGGATGATGCTTTCAATGTATGCTTCTGTCACAAATATTATCCCCAATTTGGATGACCAGTCCAAAATTTCAGGCTGTATCCTTCTGTTGGCTCTGTTACTTTCATTGTTTTATCAATGTTTGTTTCTTACTTTTTTCAGGTTTTTTCTTAGATGATATTATCTCTCCATCCAAAAACTGTGAATTTCCTAAACCTTGCATGCAGATATTGTGGAAAAGGATAAAAACTTAGTAGAGAAGTTTGAATATGACCCCTCAAAGATGACTGCCCTTGATGTGTGTAATGAGATCTGGAAAATTGTAGGTTCGTAGTAATTATCAGGCACGCTTCTTTTAGATGATGTTTGTAACAATATATTAGCTAATGTCTCTACGAATCTTGCAATTTCATTTATTTAATGTTGTGAGTTTTTGGACGTGTCGATTTATTATGAAGGAATGACAATCTTGGGATGGCGTGTTGATTGGTTGCTTTTGCTTTGTTAAAATGGGTATGTTGAGAATTATTGATTGGCCTAGCAATTTTGCAGAACACCTGAGTACGTTGAGTAAAAAATCAGGACTGGGTTTTTTAACCTTAGTTTTATTCGTATCTAGATATTATTAAGATGAATATGGGAGAGATGCCGGCATGTGAGACATAACTATTAATTAAATATCTAAACTAAAATTATATAAAACCAATAATTAATTGCATAACATTGGATCAAATTTTAGCATGCATCAACGACATGAAGTGAAACTGAGAGTAATTCTGGTACTGTTTTAACTTGCTTGGAGCCTATAATTGCTTAGTTATATCCTTTTCCTTTTAATTAGTAAACTTGCTGCTATATAGATGGGAACTTGATAGGCCCGTACTAATATGGAAGGCTTGAACTGACTTGGTGGGAAATATTTTTCATGCAATTTACTTAAGTTCTTAAACATCTAAGCTGATTAGACAAATGCTGATGTGTTGGCATAGTGGATCCTTATAATGATCCTTTCTTTTCTCAATCTTCTATTTTGTTTCTATTTAATTTAAAGAGATTTGACATAAATATCAATAAATTCGATTTCTTACCATTTGTGTTATGGAAATGAAGTAGTTTCATTTTATATATGCTGTAAAGAGCTTTATCTAATTCAAAAGAACTATTATTTAATAGAAAATGTAATATACTCTTAAAACTGAATTTTTAATTAAAAAAGAGGTTATAACCAAAGTATATTAGCACTCCCCGGGGGAGAGCATGTCACCTTAGGTTAAAGGGTGACTGTTATTTATATTTATCACCATTGTTTTTGTTTGTTTTAATTTGTTTGGAGGGTGTCTAAAAATAAGAAGTTCATATATTGGAACATGTTTTTAAGCTGGTTTGTTTTTCATATTTCTTTTTCTCGTAGGAAATAATTTTATACCTAATATTATTAACTAATCTAAATTTAACTTACCAACTAATTCAAATTCAAGCTAAAAGTACTTTAATAAGGAACTTTTGCAACATGATTTTCTTCATTCAAAAAATTTGAACTTGAATTATTACTTAAAAAATGTAACTTAATTAGTTGTTCTCTTATCACTTTATCCAACTGTTAATATTACCAAACCATATCTGCTTTTTGTTTGCATATCAATAACAAGCTTTTGAAACACTAAACTAGCATTCTTCCAGTCTTAAATATAAGATTCAATTTGTAGTGTAAATTATATTATAAAATAAATTTTATATTTAGGATAGAAGGAGTATCAATTTTAAGTTTATATATGAATAACAAGCTTTTAAAACGCTAACCATTTTAATGATTCTCCAATTGAAAAAATTATATCAAACCCCACACTGTCACAGCCAAGGAATATAAAAAATAATTGAAAAATATTGGATGCCTTGCTTCAAATCTGTTTATTCATTTCATAGTTCCGTGCATGGCTTTTTGAAAAGTTAAAATAAATGTATTTACTAGAAAAAAACAAAGGACACATAACGTCACATTGAAGAGAAAGATAAGACATCTTGTGAATAAAAAGATGAATAGATTTATATAGAAAGCTTCATCATACTATCAAAATGGCAAGTGACCATACTAACAAAAATGAAGGAGGAAGAAGTTAATAAGATGTAATAAATATAGAGATTGATCATACGATCAAAATGGCAAATAATGGGAGGAAGTTGATGTTGATGTTTACTAAAAACCAATGCAACAACAGAAGCTTTCTGACGTACACACTACACACCAACTTGTAGGTCCCATAAGTCAATGACCATCTGACTTCTCTTGGCTCAATTCCAAATAATTATTGCTTTGCATATGAACTAATCAAATAAAAATCAAAATAAGTGAAATCAACTTTTCGTTGAATTAAAATTGGATTCAATCAAAAGTCAATTAGACAGATAAGACTCCTTCTCATTACCGTAGGTGAAGAGCGATCAAGAATACAAAAAAGTAAAGAAAGTTTTCAAACTGTGAGCTGATTTCACCAGTCCATCAGCGTAATGAAATATACAAATGAAAATAAGCATACGATGCGTCACATTGCTTAAGAGAAATGTCAGAAGCATTATTCACCTAAAAATTAAATTTTTATATATATGTTGATAACAATCAAGTTGCATTGATTAATGTACCTAAAGTTTTCTATACCTGTTAACATTAAATACTCTCCTGTTTTTCCATTCTTTTTTTTTTCCTTCCAAAGAGTAACATATATTTGAAGAGATTCCTATACCATATATTCATTGACATCCTTATATCAAACTCTTTCTGATAGAAAACTGAAAATTCTTCAAAGTTCTGGAAATTCAAAGATGTTTTGTCCTAAACCAGCATTCATCATGATGATGGCAGTTTTGCCTCTCTTCTTCTTCTTCTTCTTCTTTGTGTTTGCATCTGCAGGCTCTTCTTCTTCTTCTTCTTCCACTTCACATGTTAAAGGAGTTGAGATTACAGAGTTTGCTTCTCCTGACCAGAGAGTGAATCTATCAGTGTACTTTGAAAGCTTAAATGAGCCTTGTGCAACTTTCATAATCAAGAACCTTGTGGAAATCTTCAACAAAGATCTCATCAACATTGTGAATCTCCAACTTGTTCCTTGGGCCAATGCTTCCATCAGCAACACCAACAATACCATCTTATGTCAGGTTCTTTTCTATTTCTCTCTATATATAATCTCTGCCCTAAATTCTTGCTCTGGTTTAAACCCATATTTCTTTCTCTTTATCCCTTCAAAAACTTCCTTCTTCACACAAAAGGTTTGGTTGCTTTTGAAGGCTTATGGGTATGGGCGAGGGCAAAAGGGGGAAAAGTTTATTGCTTTCTGCTGATATTGAATCTGCTGATCAAGTTCCTGTCAGTTGTTTCTTACATTAACATTCATACTCCTTAAAATTACTCAATAATGTGGGAGTGTTTTTTTATCTATTACTGTTTTTGGATAAAAGTAAGTTTATATAATATTGGGAAAATCGAGCTATCACTTTAGAAAATATAAATAGGAATTTCAAGCAGCTTTCCTGCCTATTGTCTTTGGGGAAAGTTTGTATTTTTTGGGGAAGTAATTAGCTATCTATTTTATAAGTTTTGAGTTTTAAAGTTTCATTTTTCCTTGATTGTGACTCACCTACTACTAATCAGTTTTATGTTATTTCTATCCTGAAAATTCATCTTGCTTTAGATGGGATTTCTTAATGATGTTCTTTTCCACTTAAATTGGAGAAAAAGGATTAGACAGTTATTTTAGTTTCTATTAGCTAATAACATCAAGGTCAATGAACTTTTGGGGAAAAAAAAACTGTAATCAAACCACATTATTAGAAATGCATGATAGATTTCCAGCTCAAAGTAACCCACATGATCACTAGGCACTAGGCAGAGTACAAAACATGAGTTTTGACACTATAATCCCATTTAGCACTGATTCATTTCTTTATTTTAGGTTCAGATCAAAATTTCATCAAACTCTTTTCATTTCATTTAAATCCCATCTACTGCACAAAGTCTATAGAATAAATCTAGTTAGTTTGCTTCACAAAACATTTTCAATATATACAACTGTCAATGGACAATACTGTTGTAACTATTACTGGTTTGGCCTCCATGACGATTAACTTAGTTCTAGAAAACATGGCAGAATGGACCAGATGAATGTCTCCTAAATTCTCTGGAAGCCTGCGTCTTGAATGTTTCGCATGATGTGGTAAGTGTGTGAGAATTAACGAGAAGACAATTAATCTCTATGCACACACACACACACACACTCACACACTTGAGATCCATGCTTAATTATAGCATCTAAACAATAAAGTATTGCAGAACATACAGTATGCATTGATATTCTGCTTTGAGTTTTTGGCACTTGAAGGCAAGCACAAGAAGTGGCAGAGCTGTTTCAACCAGTTGGGTTTGCCTAAGCAGCCTTTTCTTCACTGCTTTAATGCTGGCTACGGAACTCAGGTCCTTTTCATGTTCTCTCTCTCCCTCTCTTGTGGCTGTTTGATTTCGCTATATATGTTCCAACCAATTGCATTTGACGTGCTATATGTATTTGTGTGTGTGTGTGTGTGCAGCTTGGAAGACTTTATGTAAGTCAAGTTGCTAGGCTCTCTCCACGGTTTACATTTCTACCATGGGTGCTGGTCAACGATAAACCTCTTGAAAAGGTTCGTTCTGATTAAGAAACATGTTTTTCATCAGATATGAAACTCTTGGATTCTAGCAGAGATACTGCTCATCAGGATTCCTTTTAATTTGTCGGTTTTGGTGAATGAGGAATGGATGCAGGACTATGAGAATTTCGTGAGCTATGTTTGCAAGGCTTATAAAGGCCCTTTGGTACCTCCAGCCTGCCACCGTGTTTAGCAACCAGCAGAATACCAGAAAACTGAGCATCTTCATTTAATTCTCACCATCAGTATACAAAAAACGTCTATATGAACCTGTGTTTATATGTTTTCTGTCATAAAATCTGGATTGAAGCATAACAGGTAAGAGCCATGTCTGAATATACTTTAAGCCTAAAACTTAGTATTCAAATTACCTTAAAAGGGTGGAACATTTTATGGGTAGTGTATTGTTCCTGATTGTTCGCTATTACATCTGCGTTTGTATGGGCAATGAGATTTGGATTTACCTTAAATGGGCCCCTCCGTCTACGCCCAACTTGAGTTTGTTAGCAGGCTTATTAATGCGGGCTCCTTATGGTGTTTGTATTGTGTGGGTTTGGCCCAACTTGACCTAGTCCAGTACTCAGTTTGAGCTCTAATGTAATCGTTTTTGTCACAAAAAAAAACCAGAATTGAAAATCTTTTTCTGCTACAATCAATTGTAAACACCATAAAAACACAGCGAATTAGGCTTAGTGGAAAGCGTAAGGAACTAAAATTTCAATTTTTTATCAAGAGAGATACTTATATTTAATATCTTATACTGTTTCAAGTGAAATTGCTTTCAATAAAAGAATGCATGTGCTTAGTTAAAAAAAAAAAAATCATCATCGGTATTTAATATAAAAACTAATTAACTAATTCTAGTAGATTAAAAAATATTAGTTAAGTTATTTATTTATAATAATTAGGTATTGTCTTCTTTAAAATGCTTTTAGTAATCATGTGTATTAATTAGAACCACTAAATATGTGTAACTATTACAAGAATTATCTTGAAAATAAATGAATAAATATGAGAAGTAAATAGGATCAAATTAAATATCAAATTGTTTTTTTATATAAAATACGGGAGATAGTTAAAAAAGAACCATGTGAACATCGGATCTATACCTAAGACATAATCCAAGTGTGACTGATAATATTACTACGAGGACATCTTGTTGAGACGAATTAAAACTGGTCAAAAGGAGACATTGGGTTAGGTTTGATATGCAAAATTTAATATTATGGAATTGTTAAATAAATAAACAGAGGGGAGCAATAACGAAACGAGAGCAGGGTGGCTACGAAATCCGAGGGCCGTCGCGTCTTTATTCCCACCGACTCTGAGTGGGGGCTCGTGGGCATCCCCCGCGCCGCACGTAGCCCTTAAATACATCTCATAAACCTGTTTTTTAATTTTACAACATAATTGACGGAGCATTAGGCAAGATCACGGCACGAAATTGTAAGAGGAATATCAATTTCTACATATATATATCCGGAACCAGCCCTCTTCTTAGTTTTCTTCACCCTTTTAAGACCTGGTGGACATATTCAATAAAAATCAAACTTTTCCAGAAAGCTCCATCAAGATGGAAGGCTCTGTAAGAGAAGGCGAAGGTATGCTTCCTCCATTGAATCCCATGGCAGAACAAAAAAGAAGAAGAGAAATATGGGTTTGACTCAAATCGAAAAACCGAAGAGGAGATAGTAGTAGAAGAACAAGAAGAAGGTAAAGGCGGTGGAGGCGTTATTAGGAACTTGATGTCCACCATGGCCTCTCATCTGGGAACGAGAACAGGGGAACCCGAAACAGAGGGCGACGCCAGAAATGAGATGCCGAAGAAGGAAGGTGAAGAAGATGGCGATATCGGGGTAGAAGAAGGAGGAATCTTGAATAATATAATCTCCAATTTGTTTCATCAAAATGGTGATGAACAAGGTAAGAAAATGGAAGATGATGATGAAGAGAAGAACAAGCAACTGAAAACAGAGGAGGACACTAATGGCGGCGTCATTGAAAACATCGTCTCCCACTTGCCTCCTTCCATCCCAGGTACAAATACAGTAATGCCTTGTCTTCTTTTCAAGTATTTTAGTCACTATTTTGTTTAATTTTTCAATTACTACTTTCGATCCTAATTATAAGACCCAGTTAATTTATTTGAGGAGATTAAAGAAGTAAGTTAAGTTAGTTATTTGTAATAAATAAGTGTTGTCATTCCTAAAATATTCTTGCTAATTAAGTATATTGGCTATAACTATCATTATTAATAGGAGTATCTTGGAAAAAAATGTATAAATATGAGAGACAAAATGAATTGGGGTCTTATAATTAGGACCAAACAAAAAGTCAAACAGGGTCTTATAATAAGAACCGGAGGTATTTATGCATTTTTTTTCCAAGATACTCCTATTAATAATGATAGTTATAGTCAATATACTTAATTAGCAAGGATATTTTAGGAATGACAACACTTATTTATTACAAATAATTAACTTAACTTACTTCTTTAATCTCCTCAAATAAATCAATTGGGTCTTATAATTAGGACCGGAGGTAGTATTATTTATGCAAATATATAAAGAACTGAATTAGACTCTGTTTCAATGGCTTATATATAATTAGAACTTGGATGATATGTGTGTATATCAGATGATGCGGTTCCCACAGCTGACGAGGCTGCCATTCTAATAAACTCTCTTGTTCGTGATTAAGGCCTAATGGAAGCTTGCCTGTAAGGTTGGATCCGACTGGTCGCAAACGGAAGCGCAAGGCGTGTTCTCCTACCAGGTCATAGGCTCGATTCCTGACGAGGCATCTTGGGATTAGTCTGGCCGATACGCTGAGATATCCTGAGTTAGCGATAACATCCTACTCAAAAAAAGCCTAATGGAAGCTTTATTTCACTTCAGAACCACAAAGTCACAAACCTTCATTTATTTGACTTTTTTAATTTTCTTATTATATTTTGCCTTTCCAATTATCATATTGTAATTATTGTTACTGTAATTTTTCTCCCTTTTGGTTTGGTTTTGGACTTGTAATTATTCTTCCACAGGGATGTCAAAAACAGCTCCGTCTTGTCATGTGTATGACCCCTAGCTAACAATGGTCCAGCATTTTTTTTTTTGGGCGTAGATTCTATTTTCTTAAATTAATTTTGTTAAGTGGTTGTAACCATAAAATTTTGATGGTGAAAATTATTGACAACGATTTAAGCCAAATCAAATTGTGATTTTAAAAATGATTTTACTATATACAAAGTAAGTATACAGAGAAGTATATTTCGATTTACAAAAAAAATTACTATTAAAAAACACTTTTGATGTTTAGTACTCCTCCAGTCCTTAATATAAGACTCATTTAACTAAGTTGATTAGATTAAGGAAGTTATGTAAGTTAGTTAATTATAAGAAAAGTGACACATTTTTCCTAAAATACCATAATCATCTTTCTTAATACCTCCTCTCCCTCTTCTACTTGATTATAGTTGAGGGAGTATCCATAGGGGTAATTTAGAGAAAATTGATAAATATGAGGAATGGATCTTATACTTAGGATCAAAATCAATTCAAAAATTAGGTCTTATATTAAGGACCGGAAGAGTAGCACAGAAGCCAAACACATAAGTATATTTTTAGACCTCTAATTTGCCTTCCAAAAGGAGGAACAACAGCTATTTATAAGTTTTGACGTTAAACTCGGTTTTCGATATATGGATAAGATACTCAGTTTTCATTAAGTTTTGACAGAACAACATATATTTATAATCAAATGTCACTAATATGAAGCAATTATACATTTTCATCAAAAAATATATATTGTACAAATGTAAAAATAATAGTGGATATGCATCAAGTTGAGATAAGGTTGAAGTTGACATGTGCATTAAATAATTAGATAAGGTAGTTACAAAGGTATAAATATTAGTTGACATAGACATTAGGTTTGGACTAGATAGATTTGAGCTCTTAATTTGAATACGAGAACAAAATTACAACAAACTTTGGAACGAGCGAATTTAGGTGATAAACTATTTTTATGAAAATATAGAATACCATATTATAATTTTATATTATTTAATTATTATCATTTAAAATATGAAAAAACTATTTTGGAGGTACCCATATTTTTTTCAATTTTTAATTTGATACCTATATAATTTTTTTCTTAATTAAATCTTTAATCTTGTTTTATTAACATCATTAATCCTTGCATAGAAACTAAAACCACTAATACAACAAAGTTACAAAAACTAATGTTATTAAAAAATAAATAGATGTCAAAATAAAAATTGAGAGAAAGTATACATACTTTCAATATGTTTTTTTTTTTTTTTACATTTGTACAATGTATTTTAATAAGCACTTATACTACTCCTCCGGTCCTTAATATAGGACCCAATTGGTGGGTTGGTTTTGGTCCTAAATATAAGACCCATTTCTTATATTTATCAATTTTTTCTAAATTACCCCTATGAATACTCCCTCAACCATAATCAAGTAGAAGAGGAAGGGGGTGTTAAAAAAGATTATTATGGTATTTTAGGAAAAACATGTCACATTTCTTATAATTAACTAACTTACCTAACTTCCTTAATCTAATCAAATTAGTTAAATGAGTCTTATATTAAGGACCGGAGGAGTAATATAATATCTATATAATATAGTCACTTGTCAAATAGTACAGTGGTGACATACGGTTTTGAAGTTACTCGACCCAAAGGAGCTGAAGCTTCGGCCCACAAGCCCGTAAATTTCGATACCCGATTCGTTTCAGAATAAGAACCCGATTCTAAGTCTCCGGCAGTGAACTTTGCACAAGTTCACCCGCGAGCCGCATCTGTCAGACTCAGCTTGGATCTGAGGACGGCACGCCTCAACAATGGTTAGACGTTCTTCGCCAACTTGTTCGCTGCAACTTCTTTCTTTCTACCCTCGGTTTAGCTGTTATTTGTTTTCTGGAATTATGTTTGTTTTGATCTGCACTCTGTATCTGTTTCGGCTCTTCTCATTTTGATAGTTTCCCCATCAGTCGTAATGTATTAAGTTTTACTGCATGCACTTGGATACTTGGTCGTGCCAAAATTTTCTTCTTTGGGTTTTGGATGCTATCCCCTAGTGTATATTGGTATTTATTTGAATGGAATCTGTTGTACATTATTATGATATGAGCCCTGGCTTTTAGTGTTTCATGAATTATTGGGTGCCCGAAATTTATCTGGAGGCAAGGTGTTTCTCTTTCTTGTTCTAGAAAGATTATAATATTGTGATGTCTTGGTTGCCAACTTTTTTTTTTTTTTTTTGTGTGGCAAATGTTTGTGTTCATTCTTTCCTCCTCATACTTTATTGGCTTGATATAAATTGTCTGAAGCAAATTTGATGTTATGGCTTCTTGATTTCAGCGTTCCTATGTTGCAATTATTTGCTTTCCCCTGCTTTTGGAGTGATTTAAACTGTTAATGTGCGATATAGAATTATAACATAATACATGTACCATACGAGACAATATGTTGCTTCAAGAAAAGTTAATGAAGAATGGGGGGGAGGGGGTTCAAATTCTCTCTTAACGTGCTCCCCTTAGCTCTTCCCCTTGATGTTGGTGATGGTTTTCATTGAATATTCCTATTTTGGGGCGATGATCAAGTATCTTGATATTTTAATCTATGAATTCTGATATTTTGTTTGTTTGTTCTATTCACCGTGTTTAATTGTTTGAGACCATTTAGTTGCTATAAGGTGTCTATCATCATCATCTGTGCCCCTAGTATTCTAATTTATATATCTTCTTTTTCATTTCAGGCTAGAGGGTTAAAGAAACACTTAAAGAGGCTCAATGCCCCAAAGCATTGGATGCTTGACAAGCTGGGTGGTGCCTTTGTATGTACATGAATAGAAATCCTTGTTTCAGCAATCCTGTTTCACTTGTTTTAATTTGTGGCATCCAATCAAATTGTGCTTACTGCCATGGTTGTGCAGGCACCCAAGCCGTCGTCTGGACCTCACAAGTCAAGGGAGTGCTTGCCTCTTATCCTTATCCTGCGAAATAGGTTGAAGTATGCTCTAACCTATAGAGAAGTTATTGCCATTTTGATGCAGCGCCATGTTCTGGTTGATGGCAAGGTTAGGACAGACAAGACATATCCTGCTGGTTTCATGGGTATGTGTGTCCAAACAGGATGGCGTCACGGGATATCTAAATTATTATGTCAAAATCATTTTTGGTTTGAGTATTTTCCAATATTTCCACTTTTATGGTTCTTTTAGGCTGCTCTAGAATTCTTTATGAAACAAATTATTGTCCACCTGTTATTAATATTGAGCAAATTGGAGTTGACTCTCTAGTCATTAATTTTAATGAATCCAAGGCTTTGATGTAGCATTTTTCAACAGTGACTTAATTGTAGTTCACTTTTCACTGTTACCAGATGTTGTGTCCATTCCCAAGACCAATGAAAATTTCCGCCTGCTATATGACACCAAAGGTCGTTTCCGTCTCCAGTCTATTAGGGACGAAGAAGCAAAGGTCTGTTCTTGTTTGTACCTTATTATTTCGTTTATTAACTACAATAATAAATAGTTTATATTTAGTTGGTTTGATGAATGATTCATATGTACTATACCCAATTAAAATTACTGATGCTTTTTAACCAAATGGAAAACAAACTACTGATGCTTCGGACCCTGCTGAAAAGAGATCCATAGCTGGATAGATAAACTTGGGTTGGTTAAGCATGCGTTTTGGTTGATTTTGTTCAATAAAGTGTCATCACTCCCAAGTTGAACTCAAGACATGAAAGATGAAAACAAATTGCTCTCACCAACAAGTCACAGGCTCAAATGACGGAGGTGACCCTTAAATCAACGGTGATTCTAGTAGGACGTGATAGTGTCACTTGTATATCTCGTCGAATGGATTTTACCAACTGCTATTATCAACTTGTGCCTTTCATTTCACATGCCTCTTTTCATTTTAGTTCCGTAGATTCTTTTTCAAAATTGATCTTATAACAGGATCTTGGTTTTTCAGTTCAAGCTTTGCAAGGTACGATCAGTTCAATTTGGGCAGAAGGGCATACCCTATCTTAACACCTATGATGGGCGCACCATCCGCTATCCTGATCCCGTAATCAGGGCTAATGACACCATCAAACTGGACTTGGAAACTAACAAGATCACTGATTTCATCAAGTTTGATGTGGGTAACGTGGTCATGGTGACTGGAGGAAGGAACAGGGGTCGTGTTGGTGTTATCAAGAACAGGGAGAAACACAAGGGCAGTTTTGAGACCATCCACGTCCAGGATGCAACTGGTCATGAATTTGCTACACGTATGGGGAACGTCTTCACAATTGGCAAAGGTACAAAACCTTGGGTTTCCCTTCCTAAAGGCCGTGGTATCAAGTTATCTATCATTGAGGAGGCTAGAAAGAGGCTGGCTGCTCAACACGAGGCAACTGCATAAATTTGACTACATGATCTTGTTGGACAATTTAGCTGTTGGATTGTCTTTAAAGACAGCTCTGGTGCTTTTAAGAATAGTTTATTTCATAAGCCAACAAAACAATTTTGAATTGGCGTTTATGTGATCTTCTGAGTGACGCATTCTATATTTTAGGCCGTTTCTATATTGCGTTACAAGGCTTTGGCTGTACGGGTGGTTTTTGTGAACCTTTTTTCCTTTTCATGGTACGTTTTTTCATAATGATTTATTTGATGGATTTGCTGATTGTAGAATAAATGAGCTATTGAAGCTTCACCAAAAAAAAAAAAAAAAAAGAGCTATTGAAAACGCATATTGCTCTCGAATTTTTTGCTCTCCCCTGCAAATGAGCCGTGATTAGATTAACTTTCATTGTGTATTAGTAGCTCCGGTTCTTAATATAAGAACTATTTAGGAATTGTATTTTTTTCTAAGTATAAAACCTTAATTTATTTTGTCTCTTAAACTTGTAATTTATTTTTTGAAATATTTCTATTTATTACACATATTAAAAAAGTTTTCATCTAAGAGTAGTTGTGATTAAAAAAATATTTTAAAGAATTTGACTCATAATTGCTATAAAATTTTAATTTACTCTATCTCCTAAAATAGTAATTTATTTTCTAAAGTATTCTTATCATTACACGTATTAAAAAAATTTTCATCTAAGAGTAGTTATAATCAAAAGGATATTTTAAAAAATTCAACTCATAATTATTATAAAACTTTAATTTATTCTGTCTTCTAAATTAGTAATTTATTTTTTAAAGTATTCCTATTTATTACATATATAAAAAAGGTTTTTCTTTAAAAGTAGTCATGATTAAAAAGATATTTTAAAGAACTCAACTATAATTGTTACAAATAACTAACTTAATAAATTTTTTTAATCTACTCAAATTAACTAAGTAGCTCTTATATTAAAGAATGAGAGCACTAGATTAGGAGCTGTCTTAAAAAAAATATGGTACAATGACACGGATATTTGTTATCTTAGGTTCTTCCTTGCAAATTAGCCATGACTAATGTGCCATATTTTCCCAGGGCAACTCATAATCTAATGCACGGCTAATTTGAGCAAAACCCCAAGATACTTGATTTTCATGATTATTACTATGCATTGTGTATTCGCCTGAGATCAGTCATTCAACATGGAAGTGTGAGATTGATATATGGAGGATCAAACTTTTGGCTTTTAGGTGTCAAATTCCCTTTGGCTTTTTAAAATGAAACCACATAATATGTTAATAGGTGTTTATTTTATTATTACATTATTAACTATTGATATGTGTATACACATTAGTGAATTTAACAAGAGACAACTGAATTTTCAACAGTATTGGATCAATGGATGTGCCGAGCTAGGCACTGTGTGGAGCCAATAGCACTGGTGTAGTGGGTGAAACGTCAAGGCAGTTGAGACTTGAGAGCATCCCACAAACATTTCCCAAGCACATGCTTCACTCCATAATTTTTAAAATTGCATTGACCCAAACTATTATGCTATTACAGACAATGATTGCTATGGAATCCAAATCCTATTTTCTAATATAAATTTATAGTCACTCCTCTAGCCGTCCTATAAAAGAGCACCAAGCAAGCATCTTGGGCTCGAATATCATATGGCTCCTCGGATGCCATAATAAACCCTTATTATTACACTGCAGAAGACTGGAGAGAAAGTAAGAAACAAACACAAAGGCACTATAAGAAAAACCAACCAACCGCTTGACTAGGGCCCCATCTCCACTCTATTGAAGTATAATGAAGTTGAGAATATTTGGTGGGAGTATAAGTGGGAAAAGCAAAATCCAAATGAATTCTTCTACTCACTTTTCATTTCACTGTAATTCCGTAGTTAATTATATCTTTAAACTCATTAAAACCCTATCACAACCTAACGAGTTGGTTTGACCATGCTTATATTACCAAATCTGATTCTAAGTACTCTCCTATCTTGGCAGTTCCGAATTTCATTCAGGGCTAACATTTTATATTTGCATATGGTTCAGCGTAGATGGGTCAACTGGGCATTTGGGTTAGGATTTAAGAGAAAATTACCTCAATATTTTTATGCGGAATCCATTGGGGAGGAGCCAATTTTCCTGTCATTGTATAAATGGGTAAACATCATACAGAGACTATGTCTTCTTCTTTGTTGCTTTCTGCTATGGCAGGGTGTGTCTTGTTGTTGCTTGCAGGGACATTTAAAACCATTTTCAGCTAGCAAGATGGATATATAGAAAATGGTACTGCAAGTAAGAGGAGAGCTATCTGAGCTGAAGATGGCGAAGCTAAAGGGATGGAAGTACTTCAAGCACTGGTCTCTCTGCTCAACAAAGAGCATACTTCTCAAAGTCACTGCGCACTTCAGGTTCAAACCCAAGAGTAAGTGACTGATTATTTGAGTCTTTAAAGTGTTTGACTCAGAGTAAGATCATATTTAGGAATTAGGAGCATTTTTTTCTTTTTTTCCTCATGAGTGGTATTCAAGCTTGATGTATGCTTATTCGTGTTATTGAACTACAGAATGCAAATAAGTTGAATTGGTTTCTGTAGTACTGTCCCTGATTTTCTGTTGGTTATGCTGTTGATTGTAGGGTACAGGAATGAGCTCCTTGATCTTTATAAGGACATGGAATCTTGTGGGGAATATGAAGATATAAGAGTGATGTGGACAATGATTCAATCTTCTTCTCATCAATATGCTTACATCACAAAGAGTAGCAACAGGTCTTCATATTGGCTCCTATGCTTTAGGCCAGCTTGAATTGTTTGTCTTGTATTCGACAAATTATCCTAGATCTCAGGCCGAATAAATGTTAGTTCTCTGTAGAATTGGGCTCAGGTTTAGCGTCTTTGATAGGAAGGAAAATAGATAGAGTGGAAGAGGGAAAGGGGGGGAAATGAAATTTGGCAATGTATCATGATTTCCATGTTGTCCCGATACATCGTCAATTTTCCAGTTTATTGCATCATTGTCAACTTAGGAACAGAAAGTAAAATATTATAATCGTTTTTCCTTTAAATCCCATCATGAAACCTCTATTTGCGTTTTTCTGCATCTGTTCCGAATTTTCGATAGCACTGACCTTGTAATCTTCATATGGGTATTTGGGAAACTTGCTGCCTTTGCTTTTGGAACACTCAAACAGGTTTAGTTTGAAAAAGTTCGGTTAGGATTAACAACCTGACATGGTTAATGTCGTCAATGTTTCTCCAGCCACTGGACATTTTATAATTCATCCATGAAGTAGTCTATTTTAACTATCATACTAAACACTGAAGAGTATTAAACAGCTCCTTTCTTCTGTAGTACAGAGATTGAAGTTCAGTTTCTGAAACAGCTTGAACGAGTAAAGTTGAAAGGGTAAACGGAATAACCAACATCAAGTGCCACTTATTTCTAACACTCAAATCCAGAGCTGACGTTACATGATACTGGCTTCCCACAAGAGATAATAACAAAACAGACCCCTTTCAGTTCCTTCATCTACTTCACCTAAAAGGAACATCAACTACACTATTCTACAAGTCTAAACAAACCACATCTAGAGAAACCACCATTGTGAACACGAATACAGGGAAGGCAATCATGCATGCCCATTTCCCTCATGAAGAAGCCTCTGATCAAAGTGCCAAACACCTGCAAGTCACAAAACAGTAATTTTCTCAGTACTCGTCAGTCTCTATATTTTCTCTTGATATCGCTCTTTATGAGGAAGAGGCTATCAAGGTATTAATTAGGTGCTTTTTGAAACTTGTCAGGACAACAATGGAAATTCTTATATAAGCTTTATTTAACATCAGCTCATCAACCAGTGTTTGCTACACATGATTCAAGAACCTCTGCCATGTTAAAACTGGAATTTACTGTAGGCAAATCTCATCCATGTGGGAAGGGAGTTTTCAAATAACGTGATAGGCTGAGTTTCCACAAGGAAAAAAGCAAGGTGAATAGACTGTATACACACCATGACCCTTTCCAACCATTCTCAGCTGCGCCACATACTCTGCTATCTTCTTAATTGCTTCAACCTATACATAAGAGGAATTTAGACAGTCATTAATCACATAACTTTAGATAGGTCAATTTCACTTTGTTGACATTTAAAATATACCTCTTTTTAGCTTTTACTGCCTATTTCCCTTTCACTGCTTTCCCTAGGCCTTTTTATCAAACATAATTACATAATTGTCATCTTGATCGTCAGCTTTATAGGTAAATCTCGTTTTTCCTACTGCTACTTTTGAGACTTTAGGAAACAGGTATAATATTACGAACTTTCGAAAATATCATACTCCAAAACGTAGCACGTTAAATTAGAAAGCGCAAGATTTATGGATTTAAGCCTATGATCTTTGCAATTGGACTATAACCGCTAATAAACAGAATCTAGGAAATCTGCATCTTGTCTTCACCCATCCCATGTCCACAAGTCTCGGTCTTACCAAGGGCTAAAATGGAAATTAAGTTGAAGGGTTCATACCTGCTCAGCTAAAAATTCGCTCTCAATGAAGTCAGCCATTTGAGGATCATTGTTGCGATCTGCCACCTGTTATTCATCAAGAGTAAAGGAAGAAGATTATCTCAAGGCACTGGCTAAGCCATTTACATATGTTCATTAGCTTTATACAACTAAGTTAGGTGATGTTAGGTAAATGAAAATATTTTCTAGACAATTGAAAATCAAAGGTCAGTTAAATTGCTATCTGGTAAAAAGATTAACAACAGAGGCATCGGGAGTTTAATTTCTCATTAGATATATGGTAAAAAGACGTGAAAGGGGTAACTTTGTGTACCGTATGTATCTTAGGTAGGTAAGTAAATAACAGACAAACCAAGCTTTTCATGGATCCCACACTCAATTTATTCTAAATAAAGTATCTAAGTACATAGTAAAATTAGCTTGTTGAAAGCGACAAGCAAGAAAATAACGATTCTAAAACAAACGTATTTCAATTTAAGAAGTTAAGAAGGCATTACACTGTGCACATGCAGAAGTTTCTCGTTTGTTAACTTCTCCAAAGAAAGAGCTAACTCCATAGCTGGATCAAGCAAAAAGGGAACCAAAAAGAATGGTCAGAAACAGATCTTGCTCAAACAAGTCCGCGCAAACAATCAGGAAACAAACTTACCATACAACGCATCACCCTTTTCTGGGTGCTCATATTCAGAGGGGGGAGACTTGATGGGGTGAAGTACCACTCGTCCACCACGAACATTCTAAACAAACAACATTCATATGAGCAAATGAAACCAAACCATAGAACACTTGTTGATGACAAAGTAAACAGGGGAGAGGTTCTTTAGGACCTGATATTTCATTAGCTTTTCAGCATGCTCTCTTTCTTCTTCACTTGCTTCCCTGAAGAACCTGCTCAAAGCAAGATAGACATGAGCAAGCCTATTTCAGAAATGAAGGAATTAACATGAGCAAGGTTTATGGGATTTCCGTTCGTTACTTTGCAAAGCCTTTAAGAGCTATGTTGTCCCTGTCGAAGTACGCAAACAAGGAGTGGTACACATAGGAAACGTTGTATTCCACGCTGTGATTTGAATGGGAAGGAATTAAAATGAAATCCGTCAGGAAAGAAAAGCAAGATAAGTACGAATAATTCACAAAAAAGAAGACATAATATGGAGATCTAATATGATTCATGCAATATGAAGTATCATAGTCACTTATGAGTACAACGCCTATTCTGAATATATCAAAATGGTTCTTCGAACCCAAATCAAGAAATACTGTTAAAAGAAATGCTAAGAACTGAAACGACAAGCAAAAAGATTAATAAAGAGAGTAAGAGAGGAAGGACGCACTTAATCTGCTCGTTAATAGCAGATTCACACTCATCAACATAGTTTTGACGAGCCATGGAAACCTGAGGCGACATCGGAACAGCAAGGACATCTTTCTTGACCTCCTCAAATGGCTCAAATATGACGCCGGTGAGAGCGGTGGGATTTTCAGTCACCGCGGACAAAACCCTGAAATTTCTGCCTCCCGATCCCTTGGGAACAAGAGACAGAGAAGGAGAAGGCACAGAGAGAGCGACGCTCAGAGAAGAAGAAGAAGAAATGGGTTTTTTCAGGCTATCCCCTGCAGTGGAGGAAAGAAAAACGGAGGAGAATTTGGAAGATGCGAGAGCCATTTCGATGGCGTTCAAGAACGAGAGAACTTGGAAGGGGATGAGAACAGAGAAACCAAAAGGGAGGAAGAAGAATCAGAGGCGGCTCTGAGCACTGAGGAGGAGGATGTGGAAGGAGGAAGGACAGGGGTGGTATATGTAGGAGAGGCGAGGGGCATTTCCGTAGTTCCAGATGGACAGGTCTCTATTGAGAGCCGTCGGATGAAGAACCACATGGACGGTGGAGATTTCGTGTTGGGTAGGGGCGTGTGGCGAGCTCGTGGCCTAATCCAGTGGGAAAGTAGAATATTCGGTCCACAAAGCAATCGTTACGACTTTCAGATTTCAAGAAAGTTCATTTTTACGCTCTCAGACTTGCGCGTGTATATTAAGCCGACATACTCGCTCTGACATTGAACCACGCGCAAAAAAAAAAAAAAAAAAAAAAAAAGAAAAGGAAAGGAGCCTTTCACGAGATTCCTGAGAAATATTTGGGGGGGGGAGGGGGTAATATATCATATTAAAATGATTATTATTATAATTTATGTACTTTGTATTTGTACAAATAATCATATTATATCTGATTCTAAATATAAGATTTGTTTAACTAATCTAAATATGTTTAGAAAATTAATCAAGTTTGTCGATCGGCATCATTATGTAAAAAATATATATGATTTTACTGAAAATGTCTTCTTGTCGAATCATTTAAATTTTGATGAATGACATTTCTAACTAAATTATCGATTTAACGATTATTAGGTCTCCAAAAAATTGTTCTAAAAATTCTCTTGTCATTATAGATTTAAACAATTATAAGCTAACAATGATATAACAGAAAAGAGTTAGAAAAAACTACACAAAAAATAATATGAGAATACAAAATTAAATGAGAAAAATGAAGTGAATTAACATCTAAGTTTGATGTTTAGAAGTGGAGTAAATACATAATATAAAGATCCTCATCTATATATGTGTCTGTGTATATATAATTATATACATATATACATATATATGAAAAAATAGGATATTCATGATTTATCAAAATGGTTATTATATTACAAAATTACCATTTATTGAAGTCCCTATCTTTTTGGCTAGGGTCCTAGGGAGATGAGGTTACAAATACAAAAAGTATGTCTAAAAAATTAATAAATATTTCATAAATTCAATGAAGAGCCATGTGTTTAAGATTCATAAAAAGTTTTTAAATCTGTGTCGTAAACAACAATGAAATTTCAGCATATTATTAATAATTAATTAGTAATAATTACCAAAAAATAATTAATTAGTAATATGAGGGTCGATATGTATGTATTACCTTCGGTCCTTAATATAAGACCCCATTTGACTTTTAGTTTGGTCCTAATTATAAAACTCAAATCCATTTTGTCTCTCATATTTATGTATTTTTTCCCAAGATAGTCTTTCTAATAATGATAGTTCTAACCAACACACTTAATTAGTAAGGACATTTTAGGAATGACAACACTTATTTGTTACAAATAACTAATTTAATTTACTTTTTTAATCTCTTCAAATTAATCAACTGGGTTTTATAATTAGAACCAGAGGTAGTATATGGGAAAAAAAAACTGAAATTATGAGGCGTGTGAAGAGTTTGGGAAAAAGCTGGAAATGGGAGATGTGGGAAAAGGGAAAGATTTTAAGATTTTTGTGTTGGGAATTGAGGGAGACGATGAGCGCCACAGGAAATCAATCTGGAAAGAGAGGCGAGCGGCGTGAGAAGTGCGCGTGAGGGTGGGGAAAAGAGGAAAATGCCAGATATAGATGACAGGCTAGCATTAAAGCCTCGGTGGGCCCCATCACTACTGTCCTCTGTTCTTTGTGGCTTGTGACCGCCTTTTCTATCCCATTTCTTATTTTTCGTCATTTTTTTTCAAAAAAAAAATTGATTTCTTTTCACGATCACTATTTAGAAGATCTTTCATCTACGATTTACCTCCTTTTTTTTCCTTTTCTTGTTTATTAGAAGAAAGGTCACAGGTGATCTTTTTACTGTGTGTTTCATTATCACAAGGGCTATTCTACTGCCCATCAATTCCCTTCCAGTTTAAAAGATACTTGGATTAGCTTTTTAATACTATTTCTTGTTTTTATTATAAGAGTTAGTTGACTAATTTGAAAAGATTAAAAAAATAAGTTAAGTTAGTTATTTGTAATAAATAAGTATTGTCTTTCTTAAAATATCCTTGCTAATCAAGTTTATTAGCTAGAACCACCATTATTAAAGGGACTATTTTAGGAAAGAATGCATAAATATAAGAGATAAAGTAGATTAGGGTCTTATAATTAGAATCAAAATAAAAGTCAAAGGAGGTCTTATATTAAGAACCAGAGGTAGTAATAATTTTACAAGATTTGAGTTAAGTATTTAAGAAAAATTTTATCTTAATTTGAATAAATATACTTTCTTAAATAATATTGGGCTATCCCAAACACATGCAAATACGGTTTAACTCGGTTTCTAACTTGTTTGGCTCAATTAATGCTAAGCATTTTTTAAATCTTATTTAAATATTGGATAAATAAGCTTTTTTTGTTTGATGAATGGTGACAAAGAAAATGGGCATCTTCTAACATGGGGGAAAGAGATTTTAATAAGCTTTATTTTAAGGAATAAACAAATAAGGGTATAAAATTTGAATGAGTATTTGGAAATTATGTCATTGTTATGAGCAATCACAATTAGGAGCGTGGAGTGCAATTTGGGGAAGAAAACCATGAACATTACACATTGAGAGGATAAGGTTGAGGAATAGTCTTGCAAAGATTTGAGTATATCTAAAAAAGACGAATTCCAACTTAGAAATGAGATAAATTTTTTTAGTTGAATTTTAATCAACCTTTTTGCTATCTCAAGTGATTTTTTTTTATTGTTTTGGCAAAAAAAAGATATTTTATTTCATAAATTAGTTTTTCTCTGTTTTAGAAGTTCAAAATTCTAATACGTTGGTCTTGGTAAGAGGAATTTTCTGCCTAAATATGAGGCTTATCTTTTTTTTATTTATTTAAAAAAAGCTACTTTTAATTGGCTTTAAGTTTTAACAATGTTCCGACTTGATCCAATAGGGTAGCCATATGAAAAGGGCAAAAAAAAACATGAGCTAATAAATTACAGAATAGGATATGTTTTTCTCTAGACTTTATTAAAAAAACGTAAAATAAGATAAATTTTTGGATTGGAGTGCAATATTTTATTCAACATTCAACTTTTATCAACTTTTTACCCGTCGTTTGATTGGAGTGGAATTACGCGGAGAGGGTCAGAAGTGAGATTTTAATGAGTTGGATTGTGGGGTGCACTTGGAAATTTTTTTATTGAAAAAAATGTAAAAGAATTAATTAAAAAATTTTCAATACCATTTATTTATTTTTTTTGTTGGTGATAAAATATTTATTTTTGAAGAATTGAATTCATTCTTCTTTTATCCATGATTTCCCTCGTAATTGCACCTTAAGGGTGTAAAATCCAGTTCAAGAGCGAGGACAGTGTTCTCAACAACTGCCATAGTCAAGCAGAGACCCTCTTGGAATTAAATGCTCTTCTGGTCTTAAATATAAAATCTAATTATTGAATTAGTTTTGATCATAAATATAAGACACATTTATTATATTTATTAATTTTTTCTAAATTACCCTTATGGATACTCCCTTAACCATAATCAAGTAGAAGAGGTAGAAAATGTATTAAAAAAGATGATTACGGTGTTTTAGGAAAAATGTGTCACTTTTCTTCTAATTAACCAACTTACCTAACTTCCTTAATCTAATCAAATTAATTAAATGTGTCTTATATTAAGGACCGAAGGAATAAAATTACAGGAAAAACTGATCAAAAGTATTTGGTTAAAAATTTTATCGACTAAAAAAATTTAAATTTGACCTGCATGTACAAACTATGCATAAATAAGTCCTGTTTTGACAACTATTACACATAACTAAAGATAAGTTGTAAAGAGTTGAAGAAAAGTTGCACTCGTAAAAAATAATTACATTCATCAAGTTAAGGTCGTTTGAGCCAATAGAATTTTTGAACGGGTGCTTTTTACCAAATTTTTCTTAATTACATTGTTAATGCTAGAACCAAAATTATTGGGAAGCATTATTGGGATTATGAATCCTTTTCAAAGAACGACTTTAAAAAAGTAAACTCTACCACGTCGTTTGCTGCTCCACTTTTTTTCCAGAAATACTTACATACTCTTGAAACGCCACATCATCCATGCTCTCTCTAATAAAAATGCTTCAAGTACTCCCTTGAGTGGATTTCACAAATTTCTATCATAACGGGTCACAGAGAGAGAAAAATGATCAACAGAGATTTAAATAGAGCACTTGGAGTATTTTTATTGGAGAGAGCATGGATGACGTGGCACTCTAGGAATATTTAAGTATTTCTCTCTTCTTCTTTTTTTGTGTAGTTACAAAAAGTTTAAATAGCTGCTCTAATGAGCATGTCCACATCATAAGTTCAGTGTGTCTCACTATAATAATTAAGCTCTTGCTCATATCTGTAATTTCACAAATTCCACTGAACATTTGTGTTTGGTTTTTATCTGCTAAAGTCCATTAGAGAACAAACAGTTGAGCCCAACGATTAGATGATGCAATATTTGATTTTTCTTCTTGTAGCCACCAGAAGACTTGTAAGGTCCTCAGTGCGAAGAAATGAACTGCAAAAATTCATACTTTTGAGTTGATTGTAAAATCAATTCTGAGATTAGTTTAATCATTTGATTAATTAACTGTAATATTTGTTTTATTCAGTCATGTAAACTCAATTTATATGTAATGAAAAATTTATAACAAGTGATATTATTTGTACATAATTAACATTGTAAATATTTCCCTCCTTTTTTTTTCGCCAACGGAACAGTGTAACTATTCTCTAGACTTTATACAATACACTATTGCCACAAGGAAAATATTCATACTACATTTTTATAATGATAAAATTTATATGAATCATACAAAGTGCGATACCAAATTCTCAGGATTTCTTTTGATTGTCAGGTCATTTTCAAAATTAAGCACACGTTTTACAGTCATGTGTGAAACCGCACGCCACAGGTTCAAAAGTTGGCACATAAAAACAAAATTAACATGTCACATCATGAGTATGTAGGAAAGAATTTGTTTTGTCTTGCGATCCTCTCATCAGCAGGCACCAGTGGTCTAGTGGTAGAATAGTACCCTGCCACGGTACAGACCCGGGTTCGATTCCCGGCTGGTGCATCTGTTTTTTTCACTATGGAGCACCCTTTTGAGTTATTGACTTGGGCTACACTCTAAACAGTTCTTCCGTGGCATGAAACTCCTTACTTTTAATGAAACACCAATACGCTTCTTTTTCTCTGATTATTTTCATTCCCATGGCGCGTTCCTGCTTTCCTCGTGATTCTGATATCACAAACAGGAGAAAACCAGAAGAGCGTAGGCTAAAATTATATAAAATATCATCAAGAAGGATCAAATAGATGTTTCGCTTGACCAATACACTCATGTAATAGCAGTACTTCAAATACAGAGCTAACATAATACTTACAAGTTACAGCAACCAACAACAAAAGGAGAGGAATACAGTTAATTAGAACAGACATGGTTTTTATAGTGTATTGTATTGATCCAATAACAAAAGGATCCGAAGGTTTAAAATTTATCGACAATAACTCCATCCCTGGAAACCTCGTATGCTTCCCTGCTCCTTGTTTTCTTCATCCCAGCCATGAAATGGACCTTGGGTCCCTCAGATGATATGGCGGTCACTTTTGCCCAGATCAATACCTTCGTCTTTATTCCTTCAATATCTGCAAGCTTCCCTTTCTCCAGATAGCCAGTCACGGTGGTGAAGAAGCGCAACACAGATGAATCCCTGTAGCCTACTTCACACACCTGAGGAATGTAGACAATAAGCTTCCCTGTCTCCTCGTTAAATTCATAGTTTGTTGCATCACGAGGAAAGATTCCTATTGGAAGATCATACTCCTTAAGCAACTCTGTCAATGGCTTTTGCATTTTTCCTGTAAAGTTATTTTTTGGCCAGAGAGTTACGAACTAATATACTACAATAAATGAGAAGTCTCAGAGACAAAATGATGGATAGCACTCATTTCAGTCGGTGTAGCTTACTGACACAAGTATCAAACATCAGAACTTTTAGCCATCAAAAGGATTTGTTAGACTTTGCAATACATATGACTAAGATAACGCATGCACGACAATGCCAATGCTGCTGAAGTGAGAAGTTTCTGAAACTAAAAATACTTCTGTTGAATTAACTAATGGTGCTTCAGAAATTCGGTTTGGGGTATGGAGTTAAACTCAAGAAAGGATTAAAGGAAACTCGTTAAAGCAAGTGAAAAAGTTCCCCCCAGGCAGCAATTCTGCTACAAAGAGCAGATGAACACGTAAAAGTAAAAGCATTTTTCAGACAGTTACCAAACACTATAATTAAAATAGAGACAGACTCAACTTCATCTTCTGAGTTTCTAGTAGTTCTTTAGGGTATGTCCACGAATTGAAAGGAAAAGGGAACATTAGATGATAATTTATCTTCCTCTTGTTTGAGAAAACATTCTCCTCTAAAATGGAATAACATAGAAGCATAAAGGGGGGAGGACCTCGGAGGATTTGGAAGATAAGATGGAAAACTTCCATCCCGCACCCCCAACCCTCTTTATGAAAAACCTTACAATCAAAGAAGAGGTTTCAATTTTACTCTTTAAAAAAAAAAAAAAAAAAAAAGGAAGAAGAAGAGGTTTCAATGAAACCCTCCCTCTCATTCTATTATTCCGTACCCAAGCCTATCCCTAAAATACCCTTTTGCAAATAGATTTTCAAAAAACACAGCTAAATAAACATTTATTCATTGCTGAAAGTATCATTTCCAAAATGTTTCTTTGAATCTCCCTATCTAATGTTCAGCCTTCCAATTTCGATTAGCATTTTGAGGTCCTTAAATAAACAAAGTCGTCACTATTGGACAAAATTCCGAGCAAACACTGTTAGAGTGAAGGCCTGAGCAAATACTGAAACAAGAAAGGGATACAGCACCTTTTAATTTGTTGACCAACCATTTTGTTCCTTCTCCAATACTGCTCGACAGAGACTAAACAGTAAACACCAAAGAAAAAGTGTCAGTTATGAACATTACTCAAGTAACTCAGTCTCAAACAGGCAACAAAAATTCAAGTGAACAGCGTTGAGCCACAATTAGAAAAACTCCGTTTCTTTATTCATCAAGAAAATAGATCGATTGACTCTCTCATCTACATTTGTATATTCTACTCAATAATTTCACCGCCTTGCACATTTTCTATAATAGCCATAAACTGATGAAGCTCTTCCATATTAGCTTCGCTATATCAGCTCAATAGTATTTTTAGAGGGTTTTTTCCCCAAAGAGAACTACCGCAAGATCTTTCGGTGGCTATTAGAACAAACAATTCTTACTTGATGATTTGGCAGTCATATTTCATTATTACAACATCAACACAACAAAATAATGACTTTCCCAGGTTACTATAGCTAGATAACAGCAGACAGCCGTTAAATAGCATGATTCTAACAGGAAGACAGTTTTGAGGCCCAAAGAAAATAAGATAGTTTCTGCTAAAAGCCCCTGCTATTGATTTCTACTATTTAGCAAGGGAAGAACGTCAGTATTGAAATTTGCCCCCCATAAAGATATTCTTCTCACACAAAATCGGAAGAATAGGATAAGTAAACATTACAAGTCATTAACCTTAACTAAAACTTCTATTTGGTAACAGATTTATCATGATTGCAAATCCTAAATGCTCAAAAGTGTCGTGATTGAAAAATCATAATCATAGATGATTTATAATGTTAGGTTATTTGTGAAACATTTACTACGTTTGTGCCATACCTATGTTTCTTTGCATTCTCAATGTAACTAATTGGTTAAGTATTACAGCACCAGTGCTTCGGAATCAAAGTAAATACAGAACGATTGCTTGGCTATATACTGATAATAACTGATGCTGGATTATCTAATTGATTTCTAATAACCAAAACGGGGAATATCTATTTTAGGCACCTGCTTTTCCCCTAAGATTCATACGAGAGATACGTCTATGATCTATCTATATCTTTAGAGAAATAAGTCCCCAGTAGCAGGCTGTAACTTCTAATTTTAATTTTACTCATTTTACTGAAAGAATCCAACTCGTTAATGAGAGGATAAGAACAAAAGCGTATGAATAGTTGAATTCATTCCATAAAGCTGTCACCTCAGTTGAACAGGGTGTAAGTCATGATTAATCCCTACGAATAGTTAGATTCCTAACAGCAGCTTCGGATTCATGATCTCACTCAGACGATAAAAAGCAAATCCGTCTCCAGGTGTTTCCACAAAAACATTGATAAGTAAATGAAACAGTGTCTTCTAATTCATAATCAACTCAGACCCGAAATAACAAAGTTTGAACTGCCTTCTCCATTCTCCAATCCCCTATCCTAAATTTTCGAGTCTCGCTGTTCTTCATAAAACCCTTGTTGAAATGTGAACCAAGTCTTATGCAAACCCCACTTCTACCCTTACCATAAGAAAATCTTCGCGTTGTGTTTCAGATCCAGAGAATTAAACCCCAACCCCAACTCATATACCCATGCTTCAGTCTCATCAGAACAATAACAAAGATTTATAGCCTCCCCCAAACTGAAAATGAAAGTCTATCACCAAGAAAGTCATCATAATAGCATAGTATCGCAAGATCTTGAATTTGCAATGAAAAGAAGAACAGAGTTAGAAGGTGAACGAACATTGAGATCGTCGCCGACGGAGTCGATCTCCTTGTTGGCCCTTCGGCTGAACCAGTACGATCCCACTTTGTTCAATATCTGATCCATTTCGCTGTACCCAATTCCACCACTCTCAGGAACTGAATAACCGGGTTGATGAATTGTTTCTCTCCCCGCGAAGAAGAGAAGAGAGCAATTTCAAGTAACAAAGCGAGGGATAAAGACCTCGCCTTTGCTCGGTTCTTCCTTCCTTACAACATTGGACTCAGTAATTATCACTTTTCTGATTTATTTATGCAAAAGTCCAAAAAGTCAATCACCATCCGTGGACTGTAGATTACCAGATGCAGTTTAGTTCTGCTTCTTGCCTGTAGTCACACGGGACAATATTTGAATATACTTTCAATTTAACAAAAAATAAATAAATAAATAAAAGGAGAATGACAATCAAAAACCCAAAAAAAATTATTAAAAAATCTCTGTCTCGTAATAAGTTTTTAAATAAAAAAATATAATTTTTAAAATTTGTTTTGTAATTCTTCTAAAAATAAATCTTTTGAAAAATAAAAGATCATATAAAATCAACAATATCTTAGGCCTATATATGCCTATATATGTATATATATATATATATATATTTGAGAACCCGTTTGGAACAGTTTATAAATAAATTATAAGTAGTTTTTTAATAGTGATCTACGAAATACAAAGTAAACATGTGAGAAGAGTTGTCTCGATTTACATAAAACGTACTTATAAGATATTTTTACTGCTTTGCCAAATGGGTCTAAATAAATCACAACAAACCCAGACGCAAGTACTGAACGGAGATAAACTCCAATGGTTGAATCCATCTTTATGTAACAAAATCAAATCTTTTTGGTTTCGATCATTATAATTTTAGTTTTTATCTTTTCTGAATATGTTTTATCATTTGAATTTTTTAATTTTTACTTCAATTTTATTTGAATCTATATAACCCTCAAATAAAAATTATTAGATTATTATTTATCCAATGTATTGCACAATAAAATAATCTAGATACACCAAGAATACTTTTTTATTGCAAATACATAAATACTCCCTTAAGTGGCTGATTTTTTTAAAAAAAAATATTGCCAAGATGGAGATATTTTATTGGACAAAAGTGCACACTTTACCCTCTAATTTTATGTAAGATTTTGGTTTTATTCCTTAATTTTATAAAGTATCGTTTTAATCTTTTAATTTTAATACCATTAATAGAAAATGATGATCATTTTGATGTGTCCAAAAAAAATCATTATCATTTAAAAATTAAATATAATATGTTTGTATTTATAATGTATTTTCAACACTTGATGATATAAAAGACGCCCTATAAAATTAAAGAATTAGGTTAAAATAAACTCTGATGTAATATGTTTTTCCCCCTCTATTTTGCTCCCATTTCTTTTTATCTTCATAATTTCTCCAAATCTAAATCAACTCCAGAAACTCATGGTAGAATTGGATTTGGGGTAAGATTTTCCAGTAAAAATAATCATAGGAATTGAAAGGAGCAAGACACTGACGTCCCAATACCCATCTCTGATTATCATTAACTAATAAATAAATAAGCTTTGAGTTTTTAAATAGCAGTGATTATCCTCCTTAATGAACATTTCCTAATCATCCCAAACTTTCAGCACCGGCTTCTCCTCTTATTTGCTTCTTTTCTTACGTTGAGAGATATGTTCAAGCTATTGAATGAACCAGAAGCTTCTCTCATCTTTGTTTTTTTTTTTAATTATAAAAAATCACTAGTCACTAGTATAATAAAATATGAGAATGGGATAGAAATTCGGATAATGATGACTAAATTGTTTATTTAAAATTTTTAGTTTAGTTTAGAAATTATACAGAATATAAGTTGGGAATCATATTGACGTCTATATAATAAATTCATGTATAATTTGAATAATTTTATGTAATATGATTTATAATAATAAATAATATAAATGAATAAGAACTAAAGCTATTTTCTCATTACGTAGCGAATCAATATTCGAATCTCCGTTAAGATACTTGCTCACATCTAGTACTCAATAGTGTGTTGAATATGATTGCCTCCAATAAAAGCTACCTATGCATAGCAAACTAAAGCTATTGATATCAACTTAATGTTAGTTAATAAATATTAATATTTAATGATAACAACAATAACATTGTTTTCTTTTGGATAAGATAACATTGTATTTTTAGTTGTCTCTTACATAAATATAATAAGATTTTTTTTCCAACACATATCATAAGATATTAAGGATTTTTTTTTATTCATCCATAACTAAACAACACTAATTATTATTATTATAATATATCACCATCATCATCCTCATTTTCTTTCACCTAGAGTGAAAGTTTAAGGTTAACATCGCCTTTAGACTCCCCAATCAACCAATTCTGTTGCCATCCTTTATCACATTGGAGATGTTCATTTATTATGTGACCATTAGCAAGGTTTGATTGACACTTCTTGTCAGCTGAATTTAAATCCTTTTCCTGCAAAAACCAATAATAGATATTAAATAATGTTATTAAATATGGTTCCATTGCTTTTATGAGTTACTCATTAGTTTCAAAGGCAACATTCCAAAACCATAAGCATGTTATATGTTTAGTATTAGTATTGTTTAACTGATATATACCATGACTTGAAGATATATCAGTCGGAAAAAATGATACCTTTCTGCAAATGGTTCCATCTTTTTTGACATCCCAGCCAGCTTCTTCACACAAAGCCATGAGCAAGTCATTAGAGTCTGAATGTTTAGGAAGAAGATAGTTTCCATGAGCTCTCAAACCAGCAAATATTTTTCGTGTCATTGCTCTTCGATTCCTCTCTCTTAGCTTATTGTTTTGTCTCTCTCTTTCACTTGGAAACCTTTGAGTCTGTTTAACAGAACCATCTTTATTGACTTTCTTAACAATCCATGGGCCTTTAGTAGTCTTAATACATCCCTTCTTCCATTTCTCAGCCATGCTTTCTTCTTATTCTCTTCTTAGCTCTTCTTCTTGCAGGAACGTTCCTTTATAAAGAGAAAAAAATTTGATGCTTTTTTAGTTATTATGGCAACATGCAAAAGATGTTTATTCTTTTCTTGAAGCATCTTTGTCTCTGGTACGGTCATGCCATGCTAAAGATATGGTTTGAATTATTTTTTTCTAGAAAAATATGTTTATTCTCTATGACCCCTTTTGTTGTTGAATTCTCTTGAAGGTAGAAGATAGATGTTTTAAAAAAATTTACTAATAGTTGTAAATTTTAAAGAATGGACATTTTTTATATTAATTAAACTCATAATTTAATATTACAATACTATATAAGTAATAAATTATTTTGCGTTAAATAAGGGTAATTTCAACTTGTTTTTACCTGATAGTATAATCATGCATGAACCAAAGGAACCTGCGGACACAATTATGATATATATATATATATATATATATCTCCCAAAACAATCCCTTTGTTTAATTTTTTTTAATTTCCTTTTGTGAAGTTGATTTTGCAATATTTGTGACAAGTATTTCCAACAAGACATGCATGAACCAAAAGAATCTGCAGACACAGTTACGGCTGCATTTTATCAACGCCAAATATCCCATATCATGTTTCTCAAAACGGATGGTACCTTCAACTTCCTTTTTTTATTTTTTAGGGATAAATAAGTGATTTTTGGAGCAGGGATAACTCTAGGTGAGTGATTTTTAAAATTAGAGGACATTCTAATAACTTGAGTACATTAAAATTGAACATAAATCAATCCTTATATTTGCTCATCAAGTTTTGCTATTAAGACTAGACGGTGGTTTCAAAATTTGAGTTTCTTTTCTTTTCTTTTTTTTTTTTTGGGAAATAATCTAAATTACCTAACCTTTTCTTTTACTATCAAAATATACATCGGCACAGTCGAGTAGGCTTATAAAGGGTTATTCTCATTAAAAAAAAAACAAATTAATTTATAAAATAATCATTATAGAAAGTTTTTAAATTTATGAATATCAATGTGAAATATGAAAATATAAAATGTCTCACTATTCAAAAGTTTCATGCAATGCATTATAATTTAGATTCAATGTAAATATACGAAATTCACCCTTGTTTTCAAATTAATTATCCATTATTGTCGGAGCTTACATATTAATTCTCCCATTGCCATACTAATTCCATTTCCTCATAGCATCTGCGGCGAAGGCACGGCTGAAATAACATGGTATTTAAATTAAATATATAATGACGCTCATAATATAGATGTTAATAACAAGATGTTTGCTCCTCCTTCCTATTAGGGGTAGGACTTCGCTATTGTTTGGTGAGATGTTAATTTTAACCGTTTTAATTGATATATGCCCCAACTTCACGTTTTGCCCTCTGCATAAAAAAGCCATCAACGTCAATAGAATTCCGAATGAAAGCATCACTTAGATTCTGAATGAAATGAGTTATTTCTCATTGCCGAGAGGCCAAAAAGTTTGTGATTCCTGAGGTTTGATACGTACACGTTTTCAGTGTTTCAATGAATAACACAGCACAACATCAAGTTTTATCCCACCAAATAAAATTGGCCATATATATGTGTCTGCATGTATCTATATGTAACAACATTGGACTCTTTCAATAATGAAAACCACATTGTGTGCGTGCACAATAAGACAGGAAAATGCCACCATTCTTCCTACAAAAATGATCCTATCTGTACTCTAATCATAAAAAGAATCCACTGTTAATCAGTACAATACATTTCAATGATGTCAATAAGATCCAACAAACAATAGCAGCCTCGACATCCGATGAAGAGCGTAAAGTATAGAAGTTGCAACCAGTTGATTTTATACCATGGAATAGGAGTTATTTAACCTCACGTGTGCTGCACTAAATTTTCCCATGCCAGGAAACTTTATAAATGAAGTCAGAACGTCAAATAGTAGAAGGTTTAAATTTAGCCTAAGAAAACAGCAGCAAAGGTCCAAGTTTTCAGTATATCCGTGGCTTACAAACACAAGTACAGAACGGTAAAAGTCAAGTCAAGGCGCAAACATTGTATGCATGCAGCCACCTTTCCGGTCACAAGCAAGCTACTATCAAGGACAATTTACCAAGAGAGGGTTTCATTTTATCACTGAAGTGTACGGATAATTAGGCCGTGTGTTGAGTTGAAACAATAAGAATCCACTTTTCCCCATCAATAAGCACATTGAAAACAAGTAAAAAATGAAGCAACAAGGAGTTTATGTAATATCAGAT